ACCCTGCAGGCAAATCATCCGGCATTTGAATAATCTATTGCACCGACGCACACATTTGCATATCTGGGCACTTTCCAGTCACTGGGGCCCTGTGATTCACTTCCCTCAGCCAAACTGTGCTGTTCTAGTATGAAACAGGACGGATATTAAGCTTGTTTGAATGCAAGTTCCCTCATGAATCTTTAAGGCTGCTGTGTAATATAAAAAGAAAAGAAAGAAAGACTGCAGAGTTACATTGGTGTTTCATTTTGAGACAGTGACTGCAGGGACGTTTTGTCCAGGAGGAGATACCTGGCAGGGCTCTATATTGTGAAGAAGACTGACACTAGTGTGAATTTAACACTTGCCAGTTAGAGTGTAAAGAGAGGTTGTGTGGTGTGCAGTGAAGCAGCCCCTCTATGCTCTCTGCCTCTCAGCCACCTCTCATGGATCCTGTAATGGATACAGCATCTGAAGGATTTAAGGATAGCCAGGCCGCTCACCTGTTAAAACAGAGCTTGTTTGTAAGTCTGTCCTCTGGCAAACTTTGACAAAGCATGTCTCTTCTGCTGCAAGCAAATGATATGGGGGATATTTGTTATTATTCAGTGTTGCACACATGCATGGTGCACAGTGAAAAGTAATTAAATCTATATTGTGACCTTTTGTGATGTTTTGACGGTTCTCTGCAGTGTATGCAACACATTTTATTAATGAACGTGGGGTGTTGGAGTGCTGATATCCACCAATGCACTGCACTGAATTAACAGAAAGCAACGGGGAACACTGTGTTGTCAATGCACACACCAGTGAGGTTATTGTGAGGATTGTCTAGGAAGAAGAAAACGAGCACAGAGGAGCTACAGGAATGAAAGATGTTAGTCTGCCAGTTTGTCACAAAAGCAGTGTGCTCCTGTGTGATAGACTGGCAGACCGTGCTAGCTCAGTATCCTTGGGGACACACAGGCTACTGTTATAGAGTCGCATTTTTTGAGAGGCTCCTCTCATTTTCTGAAGCAAAGAGAGAGAGAGCTACTGCAAGAAGAGGGAGAGAGAAGCCATTGGTTTGGCGTCTTGGAGCAGAGAGGGTTAAATCTTGTTATAGGCTGCTTGTCAGTGAAGGTTTATGGCCTGTGTCGAGCAGAAAGACCACAGTCAACTATGATGACATGAAGGATAAGGATAAAAACGTTACAGTGGATGGATCCTCTCAGTAATGTTTGAGTGTATTTGAAGAGCTGCCCAAAACTTTTGTATAATGACGTCGAGCAAAACATCAGGACAGTGCTAGAGGTAAGAAAAGGAGCTGGGTGACACTATGGGTAGTCAAATCAGTTCCAGCCAGGTCCAGTTTATTTATACAGCCTAGAATCAAAGGTTTGTCTGAGAGGGATTTTTAATAGTATAGACACATTTCCCTCCTGTCTTCAATTCAGAAAAGGATGAACTCATCTTCTAGTATGGGCAGACATGCAATAACTCCTTTATGAACAGAAATGTGGTAGAATTAAAATATAGATATGCACTTTTTAAAGTGTCTAAATTATAAAGTGACAGAACTAGAATGTACCAGAATTATTTTTTTCAATATTCAATTTATTACATGCTCTACATCACCAAAAATATAGTATAGAGACGCTAAAACATTACACCAACAGTTTTTCATCACAGTGACATGCTGCAATAGCAATAGCCTACCCAGTCTGTGAGATTGTACACACTCTTGTACATTTTTACCTATAAGGCCCATGTTTGAATGTCTCTTCATCATCTGAAATGTGAAAACACAGTCCGATAAAGTAAAATAAAATCCTAGCGCACCATGGAGAGCCTTTGCTGTCGACAGGAGAGCTGACAATGCTGTCAGAATTGCTGCACTGTCAGCCACACTGCACGGCACTAGAGGAGGTTGTGCCTGTTTCTAGCTCAGGAGTAGCCTCGCCAACCTCATTTAAAGTCAGAGCATCAGAGTGGCCACCAGACATGAGTCGCCCTGCCTTGCAAGAGTTTGTAAAGTTTACACAGCTTTACAGGCACTGTTGGTGTTTACACATGATGCAGAAAAAAGTGCAGTGAGTTGATTTACAAAATGTGTGTTAACCTGGGGACTAATAAACTGATGCATAAAGTCCTATACCTTTAGGGGACAGCGTTATATGGCAGGATTTCTCTATTGATTTTCCACTCTTCTGGTTTCAGGCTTTCCACACTGGTTACAGGGTTTTGCTCCATTCACTCACAAGAGCATTTGCCACATCAGTCACGGAGGTTGGAAGTGGTTGATAAGGCCTAGATCATAGCTGGCGTTCTACTTTATCTCAAAGGTAAGTTTGGGGTAGGGGTGGGGGATTCCATATGGACCTGATATGTCCATGATGCACCCAGGACTGTCTCAGTACTAACCGGGGCTAGTATTGCCTTTGTCCATCAGTATTAGCAAACTGTTCAGCGTTTGTTAGTTTCCTTTTTGCCAGGGTCATTTCTTGAAACAGGAAAACTGAAATGCTGCCACAACCGCTCTAAAAGTTGGCGATGGTCTGTCCTGTATTGCGGTTTTAGATTTTGTGACCTGAATGCAGTTATACTAATGAAATAACCATAGGCTGATACCATTATAGTTCCACGACATTATAGAGACTTTTCTATTGCTCTGTTGCAAAATTACAATCTCGGTTTCATGCCTAGGATGCATGTGGTGCTTACAGGATGTGTGACAATTCTTGATAAGAGTATGATATGTAGCCAAAAAATCAATGATGTCCAGGTAAAACATAACCCATGACTGTGCAACATAACAGCAACCCTGAGTGCGATACCTTGTAAATATACCTTTGTATATATCTACCTGGAAACTTCCATCTAAACTGTGTATACACACATTTAATTTTTTATAGTATTTTATTTTTATTTTTTATTTTCCTAAAGCACATTTTTCTTTTCTTGTTCTCTCAGTCTTATCTTGTTTACTTGTTGCCTTATGGCAGAACATTGTACGTGCACATAGAGGTCCACTGTACCGGAGTCAGATTCCTCATGTGTTCAACACACCTGGCCAGTAAAGCTGATTCTGATTATTTGAGTGACTGTGATTAATATCAGAATGTGTGTGCCACAGATGTTTAAAAGACAGTGATGTATTCATGTCTCTTTCCAGCCTGTGTTACAGACACTCCAGTTGCAGGCTCTTTGATACAGTAGGTAGACAGAGGTCAGGACTGTTGGTTGATCTTCAAATAACTGCATGTGACAAATTGTTGTTGTTTTTTTGTTTTGTTTTTTTTAAATCCCCTGGTTCTGTATTTTCTTGAACAACGTTATTGGCTCTAATGTGTTTTGCCAGTTGTACTTCTGCTGGGGAAAAATACACATAATGAGAAGCAAATAATTAAATAACAGTGTGAAAACCAGCTAGGAGGAAAAAAATTACTTTTGCAAAACTGTTCACACACATCGCCCACACAACGCATCTTGCTGTAGCAGCATGGTTTCAGTATCTGGCAGTAAAACATGATGGGTACAGAGTAAGTGTCCAGAGCAGAGGTCGGCTAGAAAGCCAACAGGAGCAGGATGGTGCTCCACTAAATATCTAATTTCACTTGGTGCCCTGTTACTGTTGCTTGGATACTGTGTGATTCTAATTAACAGTTTTGAGATTCTCGTGCTCTCCTGTTAACCTCCGTACAGTGTATGAGCCATATTTGGTGTTGTGATGGATACTGAACTAAAGATAACACCCAGTTTCTCAAATCATTGCTTAAAAATAAATAAATAAAATAACATGCATTGTCTTGTGGATACAAGACAGTTTATGGGTGGATCCGCCTCGAAAGGTCATGGACTACCAACCTTTCTGTTGATACCTCTCTGTTGCTTTTGCTTGTTATTTCTCATATTTTAACACCATTATATAAAACTACTATGATGCATAATTTTACCCTTTTTTTTCAAACAGCAAAACTCCTTTGTACTTCCTGAAAGCCCAAATGAACCCCTGGGACCTTAGCTCTTTTAGTGATTAGGATAGCTGAACTCTCACAGTCTGCTCTCTGAATTAAGACCCCCTCCTGTTTCTTGCAGGCCTCTCACTAAGCTGATCCTGCAGGCTAATTGGCCTGGGGTTAACCTGCACTATTTACCAGCAGTCCTCTGGGAGCTGAGTGAACTGGTAGAGGGGAAGGGGCGCTGTGGCTCCCCTGCCATCAATGCCAACACGAGGCTGTCTCCTGCAGCGTCAGGTCAGGACCTACAGTAGGTTTTAGTCTTACAAAAATCCAGAAATGATTCTGTTTGTGTTGATTGGCTTGAACAACATACTGCAAGGAAATGTAAGAAAACAGGCATGCACACTAAACCAGCTGCAGACTTAGTGGTGTGATAAAATGTACTGATAGCATGGAGAGGAAGAAGACAAAACAAAACACTGGCATTAAGGTTTCTGGAAAAGGCAGTACAAATTTATTTGTGGAGCAAAAGGGCAAAGAGCATTAGAAAATGCAATAAAACAGTAAATTCACTGCCTGGTCTCACATGAAAATGTACAATTGAGACAAAATGTATAGTGTCACAATAACGGCTGTAAAATTGTAACATGACAATGTTTTTTGTATTGCAGCCCAGTGTCCTCCTTCGTCTTCTTGTTCTTGGTGTTTTATGGCAGTTGGCAAACAACAAAAAACTACTGGAGTGCGGCTCAGGAAGCCAACATGTAGGGTCTGTTGAAGGCGTATGGTTTTTAACCAACACCTGACTTTCACACAGACAACCAGAGATCATGTCCCGTGTCCGATGTTGTACTTTTCATTTGAGAGTGTTTTAACCTAATCCATGGGCTTTCCCTAACCCATGGGCTTTCCCTAACCCTGCAATGTCACATTTGTGGAGGTGTTATTGTGAGACTAGTGTGTTTTGTATTGTGGACCAACATTGCTATTAATCATTTTTGTTTTGTCTGGGTTGCAGTGCATTCTAAAGCATAATTGGGCCACATATTTCTGTACAAACCTGACCTATGCCAGGGCTTGTGGCGTCTGGACCCCACAAGCTTATATTATATAATATCCGAACCTGACTTGAGCCCATCACAGTTGAGTTTGTATATTGTTTTCCCCTTTATCATTAAATGAAGCAGACATTTGAGTGCCTCAGCCATCTAGCCTAATGTTTGACCTATGTATCTGAACATAATTTCTAAATTTACATCTGAATCCAGCCCAAACCCTTGGGTACCGATGGGTCCCATCGGGCTCAGTTTGGGTATCCACCTCAGCCATCTAGCCTAATGTTTGACCTATGTATCTGAACATAATTTCTAAATTTACATCTGAATCCAGCCCAAACCCTTGGGTACCGATGGGTCCCATCGGGCTCAGTTTGGGTATCCACGCTCTGATGCACTTTAACACTAGCCTGCTAGATGTGATAGTTAACAGGAAAGTTAGTTCATACAGTTTATTCAAGAAACGTATTTGTGACAGAACTGTCTAAATCCTTGCCCTGTTTGTGAAGCTGTTTATAGTCAAGCAGAGGAGGTTTAAATCCAAATTCAAGGTGCAACCTAGCTAACAAGCAGCAATAGAGAATGAAAGTGAAAGTGGAACTTAACACCGTTAATAACTAAAAGGCTTTCTCAATAGTTTGTCATGTGTGGCCAGATGAAGATGGTGGACTTAAAAAAAAAATCTAATATCATGAAGGTTTCATTTTCTTGGAGCACCTTCAGTAGTGGATGCTGATTTATATGGAACAGCTTCATGTTTTTCTTTTTTTTTTTTATAAGGCCCCATATAAGAAAAGTGGAATTAGAGGTTGTATTGAATTACAGAGACACCATGACTTCAGCTCTCTATCTGCCTCTGCCTGTATCCTCAAAGGTCAGCACTGTCAAAACAGTTCCAAAAATCCTATTTCTGTCTCTCTCACATTTATTGTTTTGAGATTTTTGTCCTGGGTTTCAATGCTAGAATTGAAGTAGTCCTACCACCGCTGGGACCACATTCACTCTCTCCATCCTCTCCAGTTACTCTTTCAGGCCCTGTTACTTCTCCAGCTTCTCTTTCTTCCTGATACCACTGTTATGTGGGACTGCTACATCTATCAGCAGTTGCTGTCTGTTCCTTGTCAACTACCACGATGCCCAGTTGATTAGCAAGTACCTGTCCATCTGGATCTGATCATTTTTCACGACCCTCTGAGGTTTCTGGACATGGGAGGGTCTAGCCCATACTCAGCGCAGATATTTCTGTAGACAATGCCAGCTACTTGGTTGCCAGTCTATGCTGTTCCCGCACTGAGCGGCATTGAACCCAATATGTAAAATAACAGCTTGTTACCATTGCAGGCTTTAGTGGGAAAATGTATTTGTTCCCACTTTTCCAGCACAAAGCCTGTATCTTATTTTTGAGACAATGTGCTCATTTCACAGGACTTCGGTAGACCGGATTCCAATTAAAACTAATGTATTCTGATCACAGTTTTCTCTTTGTCGACGTTTCAGGCAGTGAGAAAATCTTTATCTGCTGTCTTCTCACTTCAGACTGGCTTTGAGCACAGCTGCATTGTTAGCGGTTATGAATGGGATATACTGATGGAGAGTTGTTGCTTTAGAATTGCCATGTCTGTAAATTAAGCGGACACTCTCGTTTTCAAATGGGCATTTGTTTCAATTATCTAGATAGATTGAGAAGCTGTGCAACTCTGCTTTGCTTGAATCTTTTCTGATTGGATGGGAAGCCAGATGGGAAGCACAGCAAGCAGCGGGAGGAGGAGAGAGTCGACGAGTGCGCTCATGGTGTATGGCATTCACCGTGGATGAGACAAATCAATTACAGACAAATGCCATGTACACCAAAGGAATGCAAAGGGGTTTCAGGAGTTGTAGAGGTAAAGCTTTAGTGTCACTGACCTTGTGAACAGAAAATATGAAAGATACCAAACACCTTTTGTTTTTACATTTCATATTGACACCCTCAAATCATTTTAGGGTCACACGTTTCTATTTATTGCGGTTGGATTTTTTGGGGGGGGATTAGCATCAGCCAGTGCATAATTGTTCCCAAACACTTCAGAAATAGAACTCCATAAGAGGAACACTTAATGATAACATATACCTCTGTCTTGTGAGATTTGTAGCATTATTCATCAGGTCCTGCATATTTTATTTCACAAATGTCAAAAACACTTCACCCTTAAATTAAAGGTACTAGAGCAAGCTTCAGATGAATAAGAGCCTGAGCCTGGCTGCGCAGAATGCTGAATTGCGGTCCTTTTCTTGTTTGTGTGACAACTGAATCTATTTTCTTGTTGCTAATACCCAATTAGGGAGATTATTATTGATTGAGGTGTTGAAAATTGACTGCTAATCTCTGTTCTCTCAGGATGAGGTGATCAATAAGTGAGTGCAAAGAGCAACCTGGTTTCTTTGTGCTAATAAACAGAATTAAATTTAGACAAGATACATATCTGTCAAATAATGGATAGAGAATTTGAGGAGAAGACGTCTAAGTATTTTGGGTTCCTTATAAGTGACGTGTTGAGCCAAAGTTATGTTTTGTCAGTAATACAAAAACTTTTTTGCTGTTAGCAACGCTAATGTCAGTAAAAGTGCACTCATTTCAGCCAAAACCCATTTCAGGACCCACTGTTCTGTTACTTAAAATGCTCCATACAATTCTGCAAGGCCACCTCTGAATTTTCAGTCCTGCTTACTTTAAAATTTTTAAGACCCTTGGGTGCTTATAATAAACAGTGGTTAAAAGTAAATGTAAGCTAATACCATCAGCAATTACCGAACAGCATGCTTATGGCTAATTACTGTACTTCCAGAAGGCAACCCCCCACTTTTCACCAACTTTTATGCTCATGAATGAGTGGCTGTTGGTTGCTGACCCATCAAGGGCAGCTTAACAAACAAACAGAGCAGTTGTGGGGCCAGAATTTGCTTTTCAAGGACGATGCAATTGTTCTTGACGTATGGGTTGTATAGAGCGTTCATGTGTTGATTAGGGTTCATACCTAACTGAGGCATCTCTTCTGATTTTTTTTTTTTTTTTGTCATTTTGTCTTGTGTCTTCCAGTGTCCTGAAAAATACACTTTATGTACAACCCAGGAATATCTTCTGTGTAGTGTAGAGAAAATGTCATGTTTGCCTCCTGGGTGTCACTTTCCTCTGAAAAGATGCTAGGCTGTGCCATGATGCAGTCTCTCTGGGCCACAATCTGTTTTCAGGTAGTGTAATGATATGCAGGAAAACTTTAGGAAACATGATGACACATACCCAGCACATTAATTCTCAGACTTCTGGGCTTCCAAATATATTGTAAAATACAGAAATGTATGACACTTGTAAATATAAACATTGTCTACATAATATTGTAGTGATGAATAAAGCTAAAGGAGCTTTGGGCCATATGTTTTTAACTGCAAAATTCGACCGGACTAAGATGAAATATAGTGTGCACTATAAATGGAAGCTACTATGTTATATCTGAATGTGTTTTTAAAGCTGCACTAATCAATATTTTACATTAACAATAGATCAAATGATGAATGAATTGGTTATTTGTGTGATGTGAAAGATGTTGGTTGTATGACAAAGCCAGAGAATTTATCACCACAGCTCTACTGTGCGTTGCAGTTTGTCTCAGCTAATTGGGTTTATGGCTTGCAGTTTCACTGGTTTAGTGTACTGTCACCACTCCAATCAGCACCATCTTCAGACACAGCAGGCAGCTGTTTTCAGCAGAAATGCTCTGATAAACCAACTGTACACAGACCCACAGACAAAGGTAGTCAGTGCTAGAAGAAGTAGAAGTAGCAATGTGTATAAGAAGTAACAAGCACAAGTCCTACAATCAAAGTGTTACTTTTAAGTAAAAGCACAAAAGTATTAGCATCAAATACTCATTGTGCAGAATGTCGCATTTTACATTTACTGACATTTTCCACAGGATTTGGTGGCTGACAGTATAAATCTAAAAAGAGAGTGAACACTGCACTGTTGATTCTTGTTGTATTGCCCCCAAGTGAACATTCAATGAGACTCTTAAGTATTAGTTTATCTAAGCCTTTTTAGAAAATGATGCAATAGTAACCGTTTTAAACCGGTAAGGGTTTAGTGTGATGCTAAAGGACAAAAACTGTCCTCATAACAAAACACCACCGAAGCGTTCTATTTCCCAGGTTGTCACATACTGACATTTTGTCAAGTACCTTTTGTGTATCATTGTGATACTAAAGGGCACCTTTGGCGACCATATAAGATGCTCAGGGTTTTCTTTACAGAATAGCATTAGCCCATTTCTGTCAGTACACAAAAATGACATGGTTATGTTTTGGCACAAAAACTACATACAGTACTTAGGTTTAGGTGCATCTCATGAGACACTAAAGATACTTGATATATTGTGAGTATTTGATGGGAATGAGGTTGGGCTGCTACCACAGGCAGAAGTTGCTCCCTGAATAAACATGCCAGCTGTGAAGCTTTGTAATTTGACCTAAGCTTTGTGTGTTCTTCATGCCACCAGATGCCTGTATTTGTGTATATATTTAGCACTTAGCATTTAACTTTTCTGTATTTTCATGCTCTCCACCTTTATTTCTGTGCACAAGAACAATAGAATTTGTTTAAATAGCTGATTCTTCACATTTATCCAACAACCTCTAGTAGACATGAGATTTATGACTCTTGTTTATTAATAGTCTGTTAGATGTTTTACTGTTCAGCTGGCATTTTATCAATAACAAGTCTTGGTTTCTTTTAGCACTGACCACACATTTTTCCTAACACTTAACCAGATAGTGTTTTAACCCATGGCACAGTTAATCTCGACTCACTCAACTAGAAGAAGAAGAAGAAGAAGAAGAAGAAGCTTTATTTTATTGTGACACGTACAACGAAATTTTGTTTGGAGTCGAGGGTCCCGGGCCACTGTGTGTATACACACCGCCATCACGGGCAACTTGGGGGGGGGGTCAGGGTCTTGCACAAGGGCACTCAGACATCGACCTTTGAACCTTCAACCTTCTGGTTGGGAGACGACTGCGCTACCCACCAAACCACTTGCACCCCTGACTAGGTCAAAGGTCAAAGTGTTTACTACTACTACTGCTCTAACCATTTTTGCACCTAAATGTAAACCAAATATTTAATTGTTTGCTGATAGAGGTGTCAGAGCATATCTGTCAGTGTGAAAGTCCATGAAAATTGTATTTTTTTTTTCATTTAGTTTGGAGAACTTGTTACA